GACCTTGACATTCCCCCATGCAAAACAACATCAGGTCAAAGAAGTTTTTGCTATAGAGCAATAAAAATCTGGAACATTTTAGATAAAGATTTTAAAAAACTACCTTTTAAAACATTTAAGAAGCACTTAAAGAAAAATATGTTAACAAATAACGTTAACGGAAACCTATCTTAGTTAAAGTATTAAAATCTTAGTATAACTATATAACTAGGATTTCTCTTAATTGTAAACATATTTTATAAACATAGCATAGTCAATAACGTAATTGTAGATAGAAATATACCTATTTTTAGCCTTGTTAGTACATACTGAAAAGCCCTATTGGGAGTATTTTATGTATATAATAATAATAAAATATAATAAATGTAGCTTGAAAAGACTATATAAATCGTAAACTCAAACTAGCATATAGTGATAAGCTGCACTTGTATTATAAGTCGAAACATGAGACAAAATAATAGTTTGCTTTGTTATCTCAAATTACTCACCCATAGCAACCCATAGCAAATATACTTTAGAAATTCCGTATTTTCTCGGTTTTTTTGTTCTCTGTTGTCTTTAAGACGTTTGCATTTTACATATTATCATTCTGTTATAATTCTGAGTAATTTTTAGGGTAGGATGTGCAAAAGAATCGGAGAAATAGCATTTTATAAGTTCTCAGCGATAATTGTTGCTAAGCGCGTGCTTACTGCGTGCTCGGAATGTTGTCATGCGGTTAGAGAAGGCGACAAAACTCCATGACGCCCTCCCCCTAGGGTAAATTTGACCCCATAAATCGATTCCTGAGATAAAATTGGACCAAGGGATCAGTTTTTCGGATTTTTTTGCCCGAATTTTTTTTCGATATTTGTATTATTGTGAAATAGTATTGCCGGCGGTTATCCACCGGTTATCCACCGTTTAAGTCAAACGTCTTTTGAACAACCGCTCCCTGTGGTGTATAAATTAATGTGAAATATTCTCGTATTTTTAGTACGCTGTTCCAGGGATACTCACTATTGTAGCAGGAGCAACTAAAAACGGTGTTGTGGTGAGGGGAAATTGTATATAATTTTTGCTTAACATGAATGCATGCAGCAGATAATAACCAGGGGCCGGTTGTATGAAAGCCGCGGATAGCGCTATCCACCGGATAGTGCATGGTTTTTAGTTTTAAAGCAAACAAGCGTTATTATAATTGTACTGTAGGAACTCAGCTAGAAGCCTTTCAGATCCATCTTTTTCATGTTTTCAGAGGCTTGTGCATGTTGAGACAATGAAATGTTTTCACACCATCTCCACACAACCAAATTGTGCTTATTTCGCAACCAGATTACAGTCATAAAATTGAATTAAATGCGTCACCATGTCTTAGCAAATATCAGTGATTTTACATACACCTGTATTTGTGTATAAGAATAGCGGTTTACACAATACCATCGTGTAATAATTAATTTTCGAGCTATGCCATAGCAACTCCCAAGATTCCTGGTTTATTTTTTATCAATTATAATGATAAAACGTTTTACTTATTTGAATTTTAGATGGGCTTCGCCTTGTTCTTCAATATCCTCGCAGTGATTGTTTCTCTGGGCGGTTCGATAACACTGGTCATTTTTACTGTTCTGTTAAATGAAGTCCTCAATTACAATAACTGTTCAACTGCTGGGAATACCTGCACTTGTATATACAATAAAAGTCCTGGTGAGACAGACAGTGAATCGTGTAAGGAAATGACGTTTTAAATCATAGAAGAGTTGTAGATCTAAAGTCTGATAGAAAGAGAAAAGGGATTTTGCATCTGGCAGGCGGCAAGAGCCGATAAAGTTTTTACCATTTGAAAATAGACATTTATGAAATATTAGTAATTTGACTATAAATCGCTCTTTTTACTTTCTACAGGGAATATGAAATGCGATGATCTTGATACGGTTCATGCCATAATCATCGTTTGTCTTGTTGTATTCATCATTCTTACTATCAACAGCTTAACCGCATCAATTTTCGGTTGCCTGGGAACCTGCTGTGCTCCTGTGGTCAGTATATCGGATTTTTTTCTCTTTTTTACATATATACGCACGCGCGCATGCGCACTCAAGCAACACCTGAAATCCATTCATCGTTATATTTAGAAAACTTTGAAAAAACTGATAGCTATACATGCGGTTAATACTGACCTCTCTATATATATATATGTTACTGATGTGGTAAACATTTGGGCGATTTTAGATTTGGGATCATATGTTGCCCAATAATAATATCGGCTACTGTATAATATCACAATTCTTGGATTATCTGACCAGCCATGTACGTATATGACCTTTGCAGGATCCAATTGTTGTCACAGCTGGCGCTCCAATGCAACCCACGGGCGCTACAGTTTGTTCAGCAACCAATCGTCATCTTCCCAACATGGTTACCCAGGAGGAATGCCGCCTGCTTATGGCTACGGCCAACCTCAAGCATACGGGGACAAGAGCGGACTTGTTAATAACATGGCTATTTGAATCTGCTGCTATTGTTCAAATTTTTCACGCACTTCTATTGCTTATTTGTAACATAGACTTACGGCTTAGAGGCTGTATTTATTCATCTCGATTATCTTAAGAATATATTTCGAAGCCTGATTATCTATTAATGATATATTTCGAATCGAACATTAATATAACGAAGGTGGTGATTGGGCAAACGTTAACATTCTGCTTGATTCATTTATGCAAAGCCAAAGGCTTGTTAAATTTTAAATACCTTTCTCATGCAACAAAAAATACTAAATAATAACAGAAATAAAGTTCAGGAAATCATTTTCTCTTTATTGGACTCATTTTCTTGAAAGGATTATTCTGAGTTCGGTTTGCTACTCTTCTATAGGACAAATAACATGAATAATAGCGCTTTTAAAATGGATTCCCTTAGTCGTTTTGTTGTTGGCTTCGGTGGACGGAATTTAAACAAAATGCCAGAGTGAAACAACCAAACCAGCAAAAAAAATTATATTAAAAAGCAGTTGATGCCTTATGCAATTTAGCACTCGGTGACATATTTATGGGTTGTTTTTAAGGCGAGCGCTATCATATCTTATATAATAACGTTAAGAATTCAAACATTTTCATTGGTCGAGAGCAATCATTTATAAGAGGACAGACTCACGGAATGACCTCACAGAAAATTTTAACGAATTTGATCAGTAATCTCTTGTTTTATTTTGTCAGCCAATCACATTTTAGCACGTGTCTTAAGCGAGTCAATAGCATATCGTCAATCCCAGATCACGTACGCGTGATATCTGCAAAATTTCTACTTTGAGAATTTTCCAAGTGTTGGGGAAACTATTTGCCTGTTTAATTTCGGAATTTTCTCGATTTTATTATATAAGTGCACGCGAGTGCATGGTCGCTTTTAATTTGTTCTTATCACAAAGACGTCATCCGTGTATCTTTATCTATTTGTTAAACATTTCATGTAATTGGGCAATTTGTGTATGCAACTACACTAGTAGAAAAGTATATTAATTGTGTATTTATACCTCAGTCCAAATTGCGAGGCCACGAAACAATGTCTCATGCGAGCGCCATCACACAGAAGGAAACCATATTCGAACGAAATCACCCGGCATCCGCCATATTGAATATAAATACGTTGTCCGTTTCACGTAAAACTCCCGAAAAACTTCTACAGATATTCATTTTTATACCTTTTTAAATCTCACTGACATGCATTGTCCTATACTAGGCCCTTGTCGCTGCCCTGCGGCCGCTGGTTCAAGTCCGTATTGATTGAGCCAATATTATCAAAGTGAGTGATAATACAAAGAACTGCAAATATAAAAGATTATATTGTCGGTATAGTTACCGTCTTCACTTACCAGCAAAACTAGGTAGTCTTTTCCTATGTTGTATTTACCGCAAGCCTTTAGTATATGCCTTTAGTACACAATACTGTCAAGCAAAGTAGGTTCTTTATTGAACCGCCATATACCAAATTGTTTGCATATAAAACATGGTGCTTCTCTGCAGCAGCGCAGCTTCGACAAACTGAGTTAATTTATTTCATGTTCAAGGTGGTCGGATTTGATATGGTAAACAAAAACACAGTCATGCGTAGCTCTTTGTTCCCTTTGTTTTCACCTTTTGTCTGACCATTTGTTTCCTGTTCTCGTTTGGACTCTAAAGACCGTTTCATGCGTCGTATTGCATCACTTCATGTGTGCCGAATTCAAAACCATAGATAACCATCTTGAATGCCTCATTATAAGGAAAATATGATAATTATACTGTATGTACATGCAGTATACAGGGTGTCCCAAAAACTATTTAAATTATCCCGAAAGACTTGAATTGTTAAAAAGACTTTAAATAGTAATTAAATGTAGGCAGTGACCAACTCGAAAGCATGTAGCTACTTTGGCCACTGCGCACGATTAACACCTTTATATATTAACTTCTCCTTAGTTTTATTTCAACTTATAACTATTGTAAATATATTTGTAATCTATTGTGGAAACGTGTGAATGTGAATAAATGTTAGAGTTTAAATGCCTAAGCACCCTTTTGGGACCCAAAAGTGTGTAAATGTTTAAGGCCCAGTTCATACGTCGCATTTTGGTAGCGTCGAATGCAATTCAAACAGTAGATAATGAGATGATAAACCTCTCTTTAGGATTCATTAAGCATTCTTATACACGATGACAGTAATTCTTTTTACCCACAAATTATCTTCATTACCAATATTTTCACTTTACAAAATTAACATGGATTGCAATATTTAAATTTACATGTTCTTTTATATGTTCGCGCGAAAAATTCAACTTATAAAGAAGGGCTTTATTATTCTAATTTATGAAACTTGTCTAAAATTTGTAATTATGTTTACTTACGAGAACTACAGCTCTGACCAAAATTTCGAACCGAAATAAAGTGTATCTCAAGGGATATATTACGTTGTTTGAATGGAGAAATAGAATTTTAGTTGAAAAATCTTTTCCGACGTTTTCGTGTCATTTGGATTGTTGATACCGTTTACGTTAAAGATTGATAGTTGTTCTCCGCATCTCTGATTTTGTTCAACTCAGCATAACAGGCCTCCTCCGCCTCCTCGTTGCTTACAGCGTAATTCCTTGCCGCATTTCCTCTCAACGACTGATAATTATTTTCTCGATTCATTTTTGTAAGATCAAGTTCTTGATAAGTTGCTTGATCGTCAGCAGTTACTTGTGCTTCAGGAGTTAGTTTAGGTTTTTTGTTTCTAAACCACTTACGATGAGAATATAAAGCAAATGCAGTGAGAAGAACTCCAACGATCATTCCTGAACCCAATGTTATGACAATCACATGCCATTCGGTGCCACTGCAATTACATTCTCTTGAGACTGTTTTCTCTAAAATTAAATGAAAAATTTTCTTATACAAATCAATAATGTCAAAGAATTGTTATCCGAATAGTATATTTATATCAGCACGTTCGTACATGATAATAGAATTATATCATATATTGAACGAAATTGCAAAACAGTTTCCAAACAGGCTTACACCTTTTGATATGGCAACAAAAGTGTTTTAAACCCTCCTCTTTGTTTGCATAGTAACCAAAAAAGCTTTCTGAACAAACAAATTTCTGAAAATTCGGCGGAATGTGTGATTAGTATAGGGGATTTTATATAATTGCAATTACTTTTATTTGGTTGTTGACCTTTTATCACCTTGCACCTAGATCTATAGGAATTTTTTTTCATACATTTAGTTACCTGGTCTATCACTTGTCTTCAGCCTGGACGTAGGGTTCGTCATATTGGTGTTTACCATCGTGTTAAGTATAGAGTTCACTTTCACAGATCGCGTTGTTGACGACCGTATTGGCAACGTGTTCGTTGTTGCAATTGACCCTGGAATTTTAGAAGACGTAGTCTAATTTAACTGATCTCAACCTGCAGAGGCTATGACTTGCTTACCGAGATGATTGATGAGTTCGTCAGAATACAATGTATGCATGTATATATCCAACGTTAAATAAACAAACTGTTTATTAAAACACTCTTGCTTGTAGAGCGCCTATAACTACAGTCACCAAACTAAATTGGGGGCCGGCTGTATTATTTCTGTATGGCAGTATACGCAAGCACTTCTTATGGGTAACGTTAACTACATTTTCAAACAACCTGACCCTGATTTTATGCTCCATAATTTGATATTCCAGACAGGGCTTTTTGTGTTAACGCGCGCAAATGATTTGCCCTGTAATAGCTAGAGTTTGCGAAAAAATCCAAATTTTTATACTTACTATTAACATATAAAAATTTGGAAGCAGAAAGCTGTCCCAAATTATTAATTGCAATGCAATTGTATGCTCCAGAATGAGTCCAGTTCACCGATGATATGGTATACGTCATATTATTCGCAACTTCAGTACCGTTATGTAATATGCTGCAATTCAGGAAGGGGGGACCATTTGATGTACACGTTATGCTTACAGATCCATCGATTACAACTGGATTATTAGAGAACGCAATAGTTACATCTGCGAAAAGAAAAGAAAACATACTGATGAGAATATATAAACCGGGAAAGGGACTAGTTGGTGCTTTAATCTTATAAAAAACAAGTATCATATCGTGTACGGCCGGCAATTCCTCCAGAACAATTTAACTATGAGTTTGGAACTCAAGCAAAAGCGAAGGCAGGGGCGCCGGAATATCGATAATAACGTGGGCATATATTTATATATTTGTGTTCTGCATTATTTACTCCTTTTGAAATCGATTGTTTTTACGATCTGCAAACACGAATATATGTATATCTGCCCCCGTTATCATCGATATTCCGGCGCCCCTGAGCGAAGGAACTGAAGGAAAGTCCTTGTAGTCAAAAGCAAGTCCAAACCCCGATCGTCAAGCATTTCCTTTCGATATTTATCCAAAATATTAAAAACTTACAATAAACTGTCATTGTCATCGACTTTTTATTGCGTGCCGTAGGGCGACTCTCTCCTACACACGTGTAATTTTCACTGTCAATCTTTTTTACATTATGGCGCTTCAACGTGCTGTCTTCCTTCCCCACTTTACCAGCGAGGGTGCCATTTTTAAACCAAGTACAATTTGCTGGAGGGTTACCATCTTCACATTTACATTCACACGTGACATCGTCGCCTTCGTTAACGGTTATAGAACTGGAGCAATTTATTGTCACATTTGGTTTTACTGAAATGATACAACTAAAAAGCAAACTCTAAGAAGCACTTTGGGTTTGAGAAACAAGCGTAACTGGGTTGGCTGTGCCTTTTAATTCTAATTACAAAATATTCTGTACTCTTTAAATTTGCATGCAGTGTTTAACTTCACCTTTGAGTATCAAACATGTCTATACTTACAATAAACGATTATTTTGATGGATTCTTCATCTTTAAAATTTCCGTAAGAGTAGTTTCTGGCTGCACACGTGTAATTTGCAGTGTCTGTTCTATCAGCACTCCAGATATTTAACGTTTGTTTTTCTATTCGGAAATCACTAATTTTGACTCCATCTTTATACCAGGTAACATTAGCAGGAGGGTTTCCACCTTCACGGCTTCACCTTTACACAGACAGGTGAAGTTGTCACCTTCGTATAGTATGACGGGACTGGAACAATTCAATGTCACGTTTGGTTTGTCTGAAATTTATTAAAACACTAATTACTAATCATATCTATACCTGAGAGTCAATATTGCGTTGTGTAGGTTTACTATTAGTGTTCAATTCAAAATTTGCTATATACTTTCTGATATGCATTACTGTTTAGATTGCAGTATTTCAATGCACCCTTGAGTAAAAAAATGCCGACTTACAATAAACCATTACTTCGATAGATTCTTCATCTCTAAAATTTTCGTGACGATTGCTTCTGGCTGCACACGTGTAATCTCCATTATCTGTTCTGTCAGCATTCCAGATATTCAACGTTTGTTTCTCTATTCCAAAATCACTAATTTTGACTCCATCTTTGTACCAGGTAACATTAGCAGGAGGGTTTCCACCTTCACCACTACATAGACAGGTGAAGTTGTCACCTTCGTATAGTATGACGGGACTGGAACATTTCAATGTCACGTTTGGTTTGTCTGAAATTTATTAAAACACTAATTACTAACCATATCTATACCTGAGAGTCAATATTGCCTAGTATAGGAGTTAGTTTAAAGCTTAATAGAATGAAAGGAAAGCTGTGTCATTTGAGCTCATATTATGCTTTCGCGTGTTTAGCGGAGTTTGAGGCACGCAAAGGTAACTATATTTAAAATTTGCTCTATGTACTTTGTGATATGCATTACTGTTTAAGTTTGCAGTATTTTAATGCACTCTTGAGTAAAAAACATGCCGACTTACAATAAACTATTACTTCGATAGATTCTTCATTTGTAAAATTTTTATAACGATAGCTGCTGGCTGCACACGTATAATTTCCATTATCTGTTCTATCAGCATTCCAGATACTTAACATTTGATTCTCTATTCCAGCATCACTGAATTTGACTCCATCTTTATACCAGGTAACATTAGCAGGAGGGTTTCCACCTTCACCACTGCACAGACAGGTGAAGTTGTCACCTTCATTTAGTATGACGGGACTGGAACAATTCAATGTTATGTTTTGTTTGTCTGAAATTTATTAAAACACTAATTACTAATCATATCTATACCTGAGAGTCAATATTGCGTAGTGTAGGAGTTAGTTTAAAGCTTAATAGAATGAAAGGAAAGCTGTGTCATTTGAGCTCATATTATGCTTTCGCGTGTTTGGCGGAGTTTGAGGCACGCAAAGGTAACTAAATTTAAAGTTTGCAATGTACTTTCTGATATGCATTACGTATACTGTTTAAGTTTGCAGTATTTCAATGCATCCTATTGAGTAAAAAACATGCCGACTTACAATAAACTATTACTTCGATAGATTCTTCATCTCTAAAATTGTTATAACGATAGCTGCTGGTGGCTGCACACGTGTAATTTCCATTATCTGTTCTATCAGCATTCCATATATTTAACGTTTGATTCTCTATTCCAGCATCACTAATTTTGACTCCATCTTTATACCAGATAACATTAGCAGGAGGGTTTCCACCTTCACCACTGCACAGACAGGTGAAGTTGTCACCTTCATTTAGTATGACGGGACTGGAACAATTCAATGTCACGTTTGCTTTGTCTGAAATTATTAAAACCCTAGTTTAATTAATCAGCTAACTTAATTGTACTCGTGATCCTGTTTGGAAATCATTAAGGGCTAATTCCACGACGTGCGAAATGCGAAAAATTTCGCGAGAAATTGACCAACGCATGCGCAACACTATCCTGGAACGTTTCTCTGCGAAATTTTTCGCTTCGCTTTGTTTCGCCTGGAAGTTGAAATCATTTCTACTTCTTTGCGAAATAAAAATAGCGAAGCCAATCAAATTACATAAGTTCAAATTGCTGACAAAGCAATACCTCAATTCCAACATGGCGTCAAACAACATGTTCCTGTCCGAAGACACATCACTTTTGCTGCAGCAATTTTTAGAAGCGCAGCAACAAAGAATTGAAACTAGCCCGTCACAGGAGCAAACATTACATGAAAGAGATACGGAAGTTGAAATAACAAACGAAAATGAAACGCAAGAAAGAACGTTTTCTGACAATGATTTCAATGAATTACTTATAAATGAAGTCCAGTCCATGCCAATACTCTGGTTAAGAAATTGCCCTGATTATAAAAGAGCAGATAAGAAAAAAATAGTTTGGACAAATATAGCAAAAAAGCTTAAATGTGATGGTGAGTATTCTCTATCATGGTACATTGAATGATTCTCAAAATTCACGTTTTTCAAATTATTTTGTTTTGCATCATTTCACCCAAATACCACACAGAAAGAACAAAATTCTTATTTTACTAAAAACAATGCTTAGCACATGATCATGTCTTAGTGAAAATTTCTATGAAATTTTTTTGGTTACATAGGCATGTCATATATCTTTAGAGACCTGGGCAAATTTCCTATAATATGATGACAAGAAAAAAAATATAGACGCTAAACTTGATTTAGTTTTAGCTCTAGGCAATTTGTAAACCTGTTTTCGAAAGACAATTGGGAAATATGCCTCATTAAATCATGGAAAATCAAGCCTTGAATTGGAAATGAAGGCTGATATTCTTATTATTTCAGCAAATTATGCAAAAAACAAATGGAAGAATCTCTCTGACAGTTACAAGAAATGCTTGGATCGAGAATGTGATACTAATAGATCTGGTTCTGGAGCCACTAAACCACCTCGTTGCAGATACTATAATCAACTGTCTTTTCTTCATGACATTTTAAGTAACCGTACTACTGAAAGCAATGTCGTACTCCCATCAGTTAACAAACAAGCTCCATCCCCTTCAACATCATCATCATCAGAAGTGATCTCTCTCGGTGAAAATGCTTTTTTGAATCAAAACTCTATTGATTCAGAGCCCTTGGCGACAATAGTTCCTCATAAGAAAAAGAAGTCACAAGAGATTGATCCAGTTGATCAGTATTTAATAAATGCAATAAATGATAAAAAAGCTGAAAAAAATAGTGAAGATTCTAATGATTTGTTTTGCAAAAGTATTACTGATGTTTTAAGAAAATTCCCACCCAAGAAAAACCTTGAAATGAAGATTAAAATTCAGCAACTTCTTTTGCAAGAGATGGAGGATGATTAAGATACTGCAGATTGCTTAAAAACAATGAGATATACTTTTTATTTGTGTTAAATGTTAGCAACTTTACTTTGTTACTGTTACAAACACTAAGGAACCAATTTGAAAACAAGTTATTTAAATTTGTGTAATTTAAAATCACAGAAAAAGTAACTGTAAATTACAGACATAAATTTTGGTAATCTTATTTCCTATTTACTTCTACTGCATAAGCCTGCCACTGCCAAGGGATTTCCCCTTCACTTGAATTGAAATATTTACAAAAATTGTCTCTCACCACCTTAGCTTCTTCCGAGTAATTATTCGAACCAATTCTTGTAATTTCACCTAGACCAGTACCACCTATCACCATATTTCTCCATTCCCCCTCCTTGGGGGCTCCATTGATTTCATAATCCACAAAACCATGAGGGCAGTATTGGCTGTCAAAACTTTTACTTGCCATCAGATAATTATGCATTGCCACACAAGCTTTGGTTATTGAAACTACTGACTCAACCTTGGCATGGATTGGTCGTCTAAATACTCTGAATCTTGCTGCTAGTATTCCAAAAGTATTCTCAATGATTCGTCTTGCCCTTGATATGCGATAGTTAGCTACAAGCTTTCGAATCTCCAAAGTTGTACTTGCGTAGGGTTTGAGTAAGTTCGGACGTAATGGAAAGGCATCGTCTGCCAGAAAAACATAAGGATACAAAGTGTTCGTGCTGTCTATTCGTCTTGGTCTTGGTACTGGAAGAAGATTGTTTAAAATAGAATGTCCTAGATTGCTGTTTGAAAACACTCCACCGTCGCTCTGTCGGCCTGCTTCACCGATATCGACCATTAAAAATTGATAGTTTGCATTGCAAACTGCTAGAAGTACAATAGAAAACGTTTTTTTATAATTAAGAAAAAGAGAACCACTCTTAGCAGGTGCTTGCATGATGACATGCTTTCCGTCGATACAACCTAAACAATTAGGGAAATTCCAGCGTTTTTCGAATCTATTTGAAATTTGCTGCCATTCTTGGCTGTCCATTGGCACACGCAAAAAGTCTTTTTCTTTCATAGCCTCCCAAATTGCATTGGTTGTCTCAGTAACAATTTTCGAAATAGTTGTTTCTCCAATTCTGTAACTATAGTTTATACGAACTTACAGGAGTATTGTTTATATGAACATCGACATGAATCTTTACTTTATCTCAGTAGATTTCTCATGTTGATGAGCACACGAGGTAACGGAATTATCCATATTACTCGACAAGACCACAACTGAAAGCTATTCGACATATTCGCTATTTGTAGCGTGAACATCCTAACAAAGATCTGTATTGGGCCTTGCAGGAACCTTAAATCATTGCGATGAAATGCCATTTTGTAAAATAAATATACGAATTCGTAATAAAGCATACCAATAAGAAATCAATATTTTTCTTTCACCAGCCAATGGGAAAGCTTAAATTTGGCGAATGAGTCAGACCCCCGCAAAGATAAGGCAAGCCAATAAAGCACCAGTATTAGCCCTCCACCAGCCAATCGGAAACGCTTAAATTGCGCAGATGAGTCAGACCCCCGCAAAGATGAGTCAAACTCATTCTAAGCCAATCAAATGCCTAGAATCAGAAGTCGATGAGGCAAAATTCAAGCGGGTATCCGCTATTATGACTCATTTGCCGAGGGCTCAAAAGTCAGTGACCAGCAACTGCATGAAGCTTCATAATTTTTAACTGGACTGTTAATTTATCGAATGACTATTTTCGCTGACTGAAGTTTAAATATTTCGACCTGGACTTGTGTATTTTTTGACTTAGTCGCGTGACTCATTTGACAACCCCTAGATCCGCCCTGATAGGTATTTAATAATTAATTTCTTTTCAATGAAGCATTGTATTGATAGCTGCCGATGTCGTGTTCCCGTCCTACATGCATAAGGTCCCTATTGTGGACTCGCTCCGGCAGAATTTTCAAATACCACTCGACTATAATCCAAATTGTACTCGCAGCCATCGCATGATTAACTTTACTATAAAAAATAAAGGATATCATGCATGCCATACAAGCAGAGGCGAAGCTAAAGTGTTAGTTGGTGGGGGGAGGTGAATAGTCATATATTCTGTTCTGCCTGACGAATCTCTTTTGAAAACGCGAATTATCGCGTAGAAGATATTATAGTATTAAAGATATCTGTCCCTATATACTTGGTATTCCTACTAATCGGTTTAAAGGGGAACTCCACTTCCAAAACAAGTCTGGTTTTTTATTTGAAAAATAGTACCTTGAACAGTTTGTTCCTGAGCTATACTTACTTGCAATATAAACGACAACTGTGGAAGCCCCTCCGTCAAGTGACGAATCAAGGCACTTGTTGAATCAAAAGACTAGTTACAAGGCTGTTCCAACAAGTCTGGCACAAACATGATGTAGCGGTATTTCTACAATTTTGTATTACTATAGAAAGATTTTAGCGTTTTGTTTACAACTGCAGATCTCCGATTTTCACGTAAAACGAATGTTAATGTTTTCCACGTCTTGTATATATCTCATTAAATTCAGACGATTAATAAATATTTTTTATGCCAAAACTCGTCACCATAGCTTTTATTTGAAGTAGTGTTTCAGCCGTGTCGTCGTTACGTTCCCAGATCCTACATGCCTTAAGGTCTCTATAATGGTAGATCAGGGCTCCTTAAAAACGTTTTGAAGCAATAAAATCTAATCGTTAATCTAGAAGTTTGGCCATAAAACCGAGGTTCGACCTAGGTTAACCGCGGTTTTTGTTAGGTTATTTCTGGACAGTACTATATTTGTCGATAAGTCGGGGTTTATATTGTTATCATGTTTATAATTATTTCTTTATATCGATTTTATGGAAATAGATCTTTTTCATAATTACGTCAAACGAGGAAGCCTTATGTTACACGAAATGTGATTGGCTCGTCAGTTTTGCGGTGCCAATCAAACTTCTTGAAACACGGGCTTCCCGCGCTTGAAGTCATAATAAGAAAGGTCAATCGAGTAACACAAATGTAGTTTCATACCTTGACAGAGGCACAACACCAAAATGAAACCCAATATATTGAGAATTAAACCAAAACCAGCCATGCATGAACAAAAGAAAAAGAACCTGTAAAAAAAGTAATTAAAGAGTAAATGTGCCAAATAAATGTTCACCTTACTATTTGGCCGATCGCCTGATAAGCCACACTTGCCAGTCCGCCCTTGATAATCAAAATTTGTTCCTCGTCTGAGGTTTTTCCTGAGACTCATACCCAGGATCTCAATTCTCCTTCGCAGAGCGTAGAATTGAGACAAGTCTAACTGGCAAAAAGCAGCTTTTTGTGCACAAAAACACGTTTTTAAATTCAATTTAACATGTATACATTCAGCAAAAGATTGACTGAGATTACATCAATAGCCGAGCTATCAGTTAGATTTTTTATACAATGTTTATTTCGCTCATAAAAATAATAATATACCGTAGCTATATTATAAATAAAACACATAATATTATTATGTTATTAATTGTTAAATGCAGAAATGCAAGTTATGCAACCCTAATACTTCATATTATGTGACCAGTGATAAAATCCGCCGCGCAACACACGCTATAAAACCTAAAAATGCCATTTCCTGATCACCGTGTATGTTCTTGAGTTCCACAAACGAGGACATACTAATCGTAATGTCACTGCTGTATGCATGCTATGCCGTTTTGAGTTTTTTAACATATACTCGTAGTTTGTTTATTTGCATTCGATTTCGCGCCGTGTCTGAATTCCTTGTGTTTTCCACATATTCCAGTAATAAGCAGTTGTTTGTTAGCATTTGCGCTTTTGTATATATAGTAGAGACTGTAGAGTTGTATAAATGGTTTGATATTGATTCCTAAAGTGTTTGTATATGAGTGAAGATATATATACTTATCAAAGCACTTGGAATTTACCTTGCGGTATTTCAACGATGAAAAATCCGTAATTTCAACTCGCTAACAACGTAATAAACTAGTCTTTATATCAACCACAGCAGCAGATTCATCATTCATACCACAGCAGATTTAACTTTGCTTTTCTTGAAGCCGGATCTCATATAGCAAATTTAAATGCCCTCTGCTTGAAGGATTTTGATACTCGTCAAGAATATTCTCTGCGGCTAATAAATGTTGAAGTATATAGCGAACTAAACTTTGGTATTCAACTGTATGTCGTTCATTCAGGCCGAACCAGCGCTTACTAATGTCGAATTATTATACTATGGTGCTTAGTGGTTAATTAGCACAGATTAGATATGCACTGCTGGCTAACGCCTATACATTCAAAAGCTCATGCACTTACACCCATTGAGTGTGTCGACAATCGACATACAAAATAAACTTTGTTACTATACTAAACAATTAGAAAGTTTTTCATATTCAAAGTCAAAGGAAAGATTTTGGGTAAAACACTGAAAATTAAGCAAATAATCGAGTGGAAATATCGTCATGGAAACATAAGAAGATTAATACCTCCCACTAAGTTTGAGTGAGCTTCTAATTAAGGAGACGATCGGCAAAACACAATGTTGTGTGCATAGATTGTGTTTTAGAAAAACAATTCTGAATGCTTATATATGAAAGCTTTTTCGAAACATTGTTGCATTGCAATTCGACGTTGAAGGTCTTTTCGAAGGGAAGTTCATACAGTGTAAATATAGGAATTATATGGAAGCATGCAATACTTTTTGAAAGCATGGCAAATACACTTAGATAAAAGAAGATTTTCTTGCTTAACAGAATAAATAAAACGACGTGTTTTTGTTTTATCAAAACGATTATACCTAACTTTGAATATTATGTCCAGTCGTAATTTAGACTTTAGACCCTCGACAAAAACCTTCATCGATACATATATATATTACATATTGCTGCGTGCTGGCGACAGCTTTCTTTAATATAAATAACCCAAATGACAGATCAAATTCAGAATATGACATGTAAGCTCACAAAAAGCCTAAACAAACTAATTAAATTTCTATATATAACCCGCGATGGGCGATATCTTAAATCAAAGCCTCTCGATCGACGTGGACTCTTTCAAGAAACCTTGGACATAAAAGCAAGCAAATTGTTAAAATACGCATCTTTCTTTCGAAAGTCGCAAGAAATAATTATGATAACAGAAGACAATTAGTCAGAACATTTGTTGCCGTTTCCCACACTGTACCATTAAATACAACTTTATTTGCTTTAGTCGAAGTGAGTTCTATTTTTTAAAGCGATTACAAATTTGAGCATCATTATTTTTTTTAGCTAGATAACTCCTTATATGAACAATTACCCGCAATTTCGCAATAATATCTATATTAAATGCAAGCTAATAGCAATATTCAATATTATTGACAACACATTAAATGCTTACACTTGGATCCAACAGTTAGGGTCTAACAGTTAGGCTACAAATGTCGCTATCTGAAATCGTTTCTTTGGCTATCACTGAGGAAATCTACATCAAGATTAATCCCGTTCGCATTTGGCAACAGCGGAATTCTCATTTCCAATTAAGTAATTATGCTAAGACGTAAGTATATACTAGCCCATCTAGGATTTTTCTTATCCTAGCTAAAATTGTCGTTTAAGTTATTTAACCCTCTCCCCCGTAATTTCACGCCAATCCCTGTTAGTTTCAACCATAACTATGTTTCATAAGTATATTTCTATCTGCCCATATACATGCATACACGGACCTGTCAAACACTGCATGGTCTTAGCTATGTAAACACGTACAGCGTTATATAGCATTGAGGATATAATTATTTTGTCATTTATTGCATGAACAAAACAAAACTACGTCCATGCCTAGTCATCAGAAAGGGTGCAAACTTAAATGTATCCCGAAGCGATCCGTAACATTTTCTTTCCAAAAATATATACAAAGAACGCGAGAATTAAACAAAAAGTTTTATTAATTAGGGTTTGAATCCGAGCAAACAAAAGTGGTCGATTGGTTTATCCTATTGTTTCATTATTCTATTGTATTGTTCTCTATAATTTAAGAATATTTTTTCGTCTCTTTTCTTAGCAAACAAAAATTCTCATTCCCCTTACTTTCATGCACGATAACTCAAACAGAGACCGCGGAGCAGGATTGCTCGCTGGGCTTTAGCCCCACCTGCCCCACCAATAATTTTTCCGGCAATTTCGAATATTTTTTAGTTCGCTCAAATTTACAAGCAACATATTATTAGCAATTTGTATTTTTTGCTGACGTCAAGTATATGCAGTGTATCTTATCTTGAATACTATCTTTTACTTCTTAAAGAATTATATTTTTATTCTAATTTCCAACGATATCTGTCGTAATAAATACTCGAAATATATTCGACCATGGTCGAGTCTACCGTTTTCCGGCACATTTGACCATGGTTGAGTATACCGTTTTCCGGCCATATTCGATGCTTGCAGGTTGCAACTTTATATAGATGTTTGTATAATTATGAGCATCAAACATGTTTGAAACTTTACATAGGACCAACATTTGACCATTAAAACCACCGTTTAAGCCAAACACCTTTCGAACAACCGCCCCCTGGTGAATAAATGTGAAATATTCTGGTATTTTTAGTTTGCTATTCCAGGGACACTCAGTATTGTTGCAGGAACTAAAAACGGTGTTGTGGTAAAGGGAAATTGATATTGTATATATTTTTTGCCTAACATGCAGCAGATGATAACCAGTAGAAGCACAGCTAAAAGATACGTTAACAGTAGATAGCTACACGTATCTCAAGGAATATTACGTTGTTTGAATCGAGAAGCAATCGAGGGCAATAAAAATAAACCTAAAGACCTGATTTACCGTCTGGTGAAAGGTTTGTACAGGTTTGCGTTTTAAAGCGCGTATTTTGATAAAATAAAAAATGGTTATATGTTCCACATACTGAATAATTATTCTGTAAAAAGTGTTAAACTGCCACAGGCAAAACGTCAAAGCAAAAAACCCACACACCCACAAACGTCAAATTGACGTTTCTCGTGGCAAGTTGAGTATGGATGCCACCCCTTACCAGTAGCAGAATTTTGAGTTTAGTTCCTAACGAATTTAGAGTATGTTCGGTTTACTATTAAATTGTATCAATACTCAACAAAATTAATACTTTCCAATATCTGCTCGTATTCTTTGACCACAGTAGCGATTTGTTTGAGCAAACTTGTCGTTTCTTGATCCATATCGATGAAACATTGAACTGACAAATTTAAAAACTGACAAACCGCACCTTCTCCGCAGAGTTCTATTCTAAAACAAAAGTCTGTGTTTCCAGTTGATTGTAACTTGATATATCTCACATTATAAATATCAACGTCCGTAGTTGATGCTTGAAAGCTGTACAGGTTTCCTGTTATCTAAAAGAGGATTTAATTCAAATTGACGTTTCTCGTGGCAAGTTGAGTATGGATGCGACCCCTTACCAGTAGCAGAATTTTTAGTTTAGTTCGTAACGAATTTAAAGTACGTTCGGTTTATTATTAAATTGTATCAATACTCAACAAAATTAATACTTTCCAATATCTGCTCGCATTCTTTGACCACACTAGCGATTTGTTCGAGCAAACTTGTCGTTTCTTGATCCATATTAAAACGTATGAATTGAAAGTAATCGATAAAATATCAGCGATCAGTAAGACGCGTTACACAACAGCGAAGAAAATTTGAAAAGGACGCGCTTTTTACCCACAATGCCTTTACCGTTCTTTCATTGAACCGCGCGATCACGCGCGATATGTCGCGCACACGAAGTTAGACCATAGGTTAGACGCAATCAATGCTCCTTTCCAAAATTCAAAATATCAATATTTGACTTTTGCATTGTAAAACTTACTTTTAGTATATCAAACATTATTGTACATGAGTAGTGAATTAAGATGATTTTTTAGTGCAATAACCAAGCATACCTATTGAAAGGCAAAATGTGACACATTTCTTTCAGGATGACATTTGTTTCTAAAGAGCTTCTATATTGTAAAAATTGTTTGTACATAGGACTTAGCTAGATATAATTCATGAAAGGAGGCGGAAATTCGTTCATTGTAAATAATAATAATTCTATTGTATAGTAATTTTTTACTATACCCCATTTAGCTCTTGTTTTCAAAATAATCTTCTTATTCCAAGAAATTATTTTCTTGAAACGAGGATCAGATAAGGCAAGCTCTCCTATTTTAAGAAATAATTGGGATATTGCTCAAAATTATTTTTCTCATATTGAGAATTTCAGAAGTTAAGATAATCTTTCTTATATGAGGAAATTATTTTCTCAGCTTAAGAAAAAAATTCCAATTCATAAGAATACATTTTTTTTTGTTAAAATCTGTAAATCTGTAGGCTGACCACTTTCTTATTTTAAGAAATTACTTTTCTAAACGAGATTTTATATCCTGGAATTAGAAAAAATTATCAGTCTAAGAAAAATTTTCTTTACATAAGAAAAAAATTCTTAAAATAAGATATATTTTCTCAATAAGAAAATGATTTTTGCTGTGTATAATTCTACTCGAAATTAAGACCCCTTAAAGCATCTAGAATTATACACGTAAACTCACAGCGGCAATGAAATATTTCAACAAACTTGTATATTCATAATTTTTCACCTGGGGTCACCTTCGTCTTTATACTTTTGCTCCACCCTGTAGAGTAGTAGGAATTCTAGACGAAAGACATGTAGTTAACTCTAGGATCCAATGAAAACAAATTTATTATTTATACATGCTATTCACATTCATTCATTTACCTGGCTTTCAAAGAATCTCAGGAACACGTTGTAACTTGTGTTTGGTTGAAGAGGTTGATTAACGTATGTTACGTTTTCATAGTTGTATTTTTTGCCGTCACCGATCACAAACGACAAAGGGAGAACGTCTGCTCTCAAATAAGCAGTGATATAAAGATCTTGAGTGTCTGATTGGTACGGTCTCAGTTTACTCGTTTTTATGTCTTCACTTAATGTTTGACTACTTGACGTTGCTCTTTGAACAATAATCAGTACTTCTCTGAATGGAGAAAACATGACTGATGTCCACACACACTTGCTTCGACAAAATGTTACGCCTGAAATATACACGTACCTTATATAGGGCGCTGCTTTAGGTATCGTTAAACCAAGATCAAAGTGGGACATCACAACAGGGTTCACAGGCTCTACATCATAAAATAACACATGTTAATTTCACTTTGGAGTAAAAAATTAACAATTTTTTATGTTGTTCGGCCATGCTGTACGCTTCTTTAAAAAGTCCTTTTTATTTTCTTTACCTCCATTTGTTATTTCACTTATTTCTGAGCTTGTGTTTCCAAAACCAATTTTTGTACCAGCCGAGACTGTCACAAAGTATTTTGTTGAAGGAATAAGATTAGAAATAACGTATGATAAGGCGGATAAAACTTTTGTGTTTGAACATTTCGGACTTTCATCATTTTGCTTCGTGGAAAAACAAATCTGATATCCCACCAATTCACCGTTCCAAAATATCTTATCAGGAGCTCTCCAAGAAATTTCGAGCGAGTTTTTACTACGAGATTTAATCATAACATTGCGTGGAGCTCCACTTGGAACTATGATAGTAAAGAATAAAAACAATTATTTGCATTTGAATTATTTAGAAAACAATCAGAAGCCTTCCCATATTATGCATACCAGCTTCTTTGGTCTTGAACTTGTGGTAAACTACTGTCTGAGTATTCTTTAGTTGACCATCCTGTGTCTTTATGCCAACAACATAATTAGTGTTTGGTGTGAGGTCTCGAAGAATGTATTGATTTTTATAATATGCGCGCGATATTCTTTTGACCTCGGTACCGTTTAGGTAAATGATAAAATGTGTGATAAAAGTTGATGCCTCAGGCGATGGTGTTGTCCATGACAGATGAACAGAGAAATTTGATGGTTTAGCAACAACGTTTTGAACAGGAGCCAGAGATTGCACTGGGAGAAAGACGGAGTTAATTCAGTTCGATGAAACTTTGAACTGACAAATTTAAATGACAAATATAATTTGTAAAATAGCCGCACCTTCTCCGCAGAGTTCTATTCTAAGACAAAAGTCGGTGTTTCCAGTTGATTGTATCTTGATGTATCTCACATTATAAATATCAACGTCCGTAGTCGATGCTTGAAAGCTGTACAGGTTTCCTGTTATCTAAAAGAGGATTTCGGGAGAATCACACTTTCTTATTTCATGGGATAATTTTAAAAAATATCGCCTAAAAGAAAGAAATTTTTATCCGGGTTCGAGCCAGTATTTTTGCAAAGAAATTATAATTGCAGTCTTTAAACTAAGGTTGAATACCTACAGCAGAATATTGATCACGCATCAAGGATATTCACGTACTAACCTGTAAACCACTACCACCGTCTACCAAACTTTCATCATGGCTGTATTTCAATGAATATGATCCACTCCACCTTGTCTGATCTTTATCACCCATAATCATAACTCGTGTTATGTGATATTCGTTTTGAAGGTCAATCTTAAGATATTTGTCTCCAGACTCGGTTGGACACCAACCATCGCTAGAAAATCTCGCTTCTTTATAATTGGTATTGTCAGTAGAACCACTTCCAGAAAATACCGCGTCTGGAAATTTAGTTTCGTTCTGTAACAATGGGTTGTCGCATATCTCACTACCTAAATAATTATATTATAATAATAAATTAAAGTGGTATAGTAAGTATATTGAATTTTGAGGGGGGAAGCCAGATACCGCTATACTTTTTCTTCCATGATTGCTCGTTAACTTCGTTTTTACTGGAACATATGCAGAGGTATAGATCATACGTACTCACATGTGAAATATGGCAACTTGATGTTTGGAGCGACCGTAGCAAGTAGAAGATAGGTACAACAGGGGGTATTGCTTGATTTTGTGTTGTTATAACAGAGATCACCGGTTGCAATAACTTGTCTGTTTCCAATTTCCTTTGTACTGACATTGTTCCAACTTGTCCCAATGAATCCTAAACGCTCACACAGGATGTTTTCCCGGTTCTTAAACGGAATTTCTTCATTAACTTTTCTCCAAGTCGAATCGTTCTTTATTTCAAGGAAACCTTTGTTAGGTGACTTTGATAATCTTATTTTGGAAGCTAAAATAGAAACAGTATTTCCTGTCATAGAATATATCACCAGAATTTATACCTTTCCCTGAACAGTCTGTATTAGAGTTCATATTACCTCTTGTTATGGGTTCTACGTAATTATCCACACAAGTGAATTCAACATAAAGTTCTTTTAGAATGTCAGGGCAATATTTTGATGGCAGTAAATTATTGTTGACGGTCAGTTCACAGGAACTTTTTCCACTACAAAGAGGTTTCACCAGACAGTTTGTTAGTCTACTACACTGCGCATCAATGGCTGCATTCACATCAAATGTCCTGCTTTTATTGAAATCACCATAATGAGCTCTGTGGATCACCATACGTTGTTTTGGAGAACATTGAACACCTTTCATTTCGTCGCCGTACTGCGTTACTGAACCTAAAATCGCACAGACCAATACATTATATTACATCAGTATTGCATCAAAATAACTGTTATAGTTATTCTACTCATTTTATCCCTGAACTCCAATTCAATTTTTAACATTATTGTGGAAGAAACAAGAGATAGGTCAAACGGAAACGAGGGCATGAAAACGTGACAAATGAAAATTTAGAACGTCTATAATGGATTAGAAAACCTGCTATAAAACCTGTTATGTTAGTTCCACTGTAAAAATCTGAAGTGTAAACGTCTTACCAAAAGTAAACTTTTGTTCTGCTGTGTCGCTGCATGAAGTATTTTTCACGTCAACATACTGTCCACTAAACCTAGGCTGAACACAATTTTTCACTTCGTAAAGAAATAGAGATCCACCAACTGTTTGTTTTATACGATGTTTTGTGTTGTTTGCATAATCTCTCCCAGCCTGATTTTTACCAGCAAATAGAAACAAACGATTTTTGTAGTTTGTATTACCATATTCAGACGCAACGTTCCCTCCCGTTTCGATATTGTGCAACAGATTGTTATCGAGGTAACGAAACAGCGCAGTATCATTCAAGCAGTTGGTGACCATTTCAGCCCAATAACGGGAAGCATAGCTATCATCTCGAAAGGTTGAACTTTCAGCTGCGACACACATTCCTGACTGAGTGTGTCTGATAAAAAACCCTTGACAACGCGAAAATAGGCAATTAACGCTTAATTCACTGGCCAATGAGGCGGTGGATATGGGATTACCAGAGGCTTAGAAACAAGGGACAGGTATTACCTGAACTCTGTGTGGTACTGGAACGCTGTTTAACTATTTTTGTTTATTATGGGCCTATTAAATAGCATACCAATCATGATTGCACACCATGCCTAATAACTCGTACAATCTCTCTGGGAAAAATGGGAAAAAGATTTACTAAACTTAGCGTGCTTTCTATTCTAGTATACTTTACCAGCTCTTTTAGTTTTAAAGCTTTTGTAAACTATTGTGGACGTCATGGAATTTCCATCCTGTGTCTTTATGCCAACATTATAATGAGTGTTCGGGTTGAGACTTCGAAGAACGAAATGATTTCCATTCTGAGCACGAGATATTTTTTCTCTCTCTGTGCCGTTATTCAAATAAATGATGAAATGAGTTATATAAGAAGACGTTTCAGCCGCTGGTATTGTCCACGTTAGATTGACAGAATAGAACGATGGTTCAGCGATAATCCTTTGTACGGGAGCTAGCGTTTGGACTTGAATGAAAAACAAGTAAACAAAACGCAAGTCACAAGTTTGCATTATACTAAAGCAGGTGAACATGCTTGATCTCTACATCTTATAAATTTAAACTAAGAAAACATTTTAAATAATGAAAATCGGAACTTTTGTGATAACTGTTTCTTTTTTACAATAACTAATATAACATAAATATATGTTTTACAATTCTTTTTCTTCTTTCTATAATGTAATCATCATCCTGTCCGATATTTATTGTTTCAGAAGATTTCGGGCGATTCTACCGACTCACCTTCACCACACACTTCTATTCTAAGGCAAAAGTTTGTTCCTCCGTTTGACTTCAACTTCATGTATCGGACATTATAAATATCCACGTGTGTGGCTGATACTTGATAAGCGTTTTGATTTCCATTTATCTAGAAAGATATTGGAAAATATGAGTTACTTCTGTTACGATAACGTCCTTCGATTGCTTTCCAAGTCGTAGTCGGATTTAGCAATAAAGATAGTTAGTGAAGCCACGACGCAGAGCTCCTTATATTGGTCTCCAAAAGCTCCCAACATTTCAGTTTAATTTCCCGCGTATGTTCCTAGTCAGTAGAAAAATTGAGTAGGCATGAATATGCTACTAGGTATCTCTGCTTTACACTACAATTCGTTTTCTTGTGTATTTTTAGGCATGCAGTTGAATTAATCTCGATAACTTCACAAATTTTGATATTGCATTAATCTATATATATTTCTTAATCTTATACACCTGTACTTCATCACTGCCATCCACCAAACTTTCATCATGACTGTATTTCAATGAATATGATCCACTCCACTTTGTCTGATTTTTATTACCCATAACCATAACTCGCGTTATGTGATATTCGTTTTGAAGATCAATCTTAAGATATTTGTCTCCAGACTTTGTTGGACACCAACCATCGCTAGAAAACCTCGCTTTTTTGTACTTGGTATTGTCAGCAGAACCACTTCCAGAAAATATCGCGTCTGGAAACTTGGTGTGGTTCTGTAATAATTCATTCTCACATATTTTGCCTAAAACGAGAACGGTTTTTTGATCTGACACGTGATTATCCTGTGATTTGTGTTTAAGCCGAATGAATATTAGAATTATGTTAATTAGATCCTATATACTGTACTCACATTTCACATATGGCGCCTTAACTGTTGTCGTTGTTGTAAAGGGATAAAGGTGGACACAACATCTCTCGTTTCGAGGTACGTCATAACATAAGTCACCACTTGCAATTTCACGACCTCGCTCGATTCCCTCAGTCTTAACAATGCTCCCCACTGTCCCTTTAAATCCCAAGTGCTGACACAACGATTTTTCAACACTGATGTCCCAGGTTTCTTCTATCACTTTTCTCCAAGCGGAACCATCATTTATTTCAATGAAACCTTCGTTCGGTGACTTTGATAATCTCATGTTGGGAGCTAAAACTGTAGAACAATGTACATCATTTCAAATTAGCGTTATTTTCCGAACATTTTGCTTCTGTATCAGAGATCCCAACTTCCTCCATCTGAAATTGCGAGGAATTTCGCGCGAGTAATATTTTTAGCAGAACGCTGTTCACAATGAAGCGAAATTTTTCGATTAAATGATCAGGATCAAGTGGATCCGAATCAGTCGACTTCGAACAAATCAAAGAAACCTGAGCGACGTCAAAAACAGTCCTAAAGTTGACTTCTACTAGAACGATTTTTATACATGGCATCACAAAATTTCATTTTCTCTATCATTGGGCATTTTATAGTAATATAAAATCATACCTATTGTTATGGGATTCGTATAACTATCCACACAAGTGTACTCGATATAAAGTTCTTTTGTAGTATCAGGACAATATTGTGACGAGAGTAAATTATTGTCAATGGTCAGTTCACAAGATCTGTTTCCACCACAAAGGGATTTCACTTCACAACTTGCTTGTCGACTACATTTCTTATCAATATTTGCATTGGCATTGAATGTTGCAGTATCAATGAAATCTCCATAATGAGCTTTGTGGATCACCATACGTTGTATTGGAGAACAATGAACATCGTTCATTTTGTCGCCGTACTGAGTTGCTGAACCTAACAATGGAGACGTTTATAAAAAATGCACATTCATGTTATATTGGAAACAAACAGAAGAGACACTCGGCCCATAGAACGTGCTCTGATTTTTCGCAATAAATCAATGTCGCACAAGCCAGTAATGCAATGCATAATGCGATATTCCTGGCGATAAAAAATAAAAGGCTCCGTCCAACATGATCAGCCCAGCAGGATATTCCCTGTACAGAGATGACATAAAGTTAAACACTAGGTATTTCCCTATCTATAGATTTTCTCTATCCATAGTGTTTCGTAATTATCATTACATGAACATCAAGAGAATGGGAAAAATGAAGAGCACGAACAGTACAAGTTAAAAGGAATACTCCATTAGTTAGGCCAGGGCCTTCTCAACTTTATAACTGGGACCCCAGGTTATAAACCCCTAGCCCCTCTTCCGTTTCTTTGATGGATTTTCGCCGCCTTCCCAGTGAATGAAATATTTTCTCTTTATTTCCCCTTTCCCTCTCAATCATGACAAAAGGTCCCTTTTGTCCCCCCCCCTCCGATGATGAAATCCCTAAAAAGGCACTGGCTTAGTTCGCTCTCTTTATATCTCTCCCCGCAATCTGTTTTCTCTTTATTTCCCCTTTCCTTCTCAATCAGGACAAAAGGCCCCTTTTGTCACCTCCCCACGCAACGGAGAAATCCCTAAAAAGGCACTGCACGGTTTTAGTCCCCTCTCTTTAATCTTCTCCCCCCCCCCCGCAACCTGCGCTAGTTTACACGGTGCTATTTTAGAAGGCCGGCAAAAGATTTTTAAATAAACTAAACAGCAAGATAATAGTGAGCAGTCGGTTTAAAGGATTCCCCTTCTGATTACAACTTATAGACTACAGAATGTATATAGCACTTATAACAGGAAAAAAACGACCCAATGTATAAGTTCAATTGCAAAGTAATTTTGCTTACCGAAAGTAATTTTTTGTGCTGCTTCTTCGGTGCATGAAGTATCTTTCACGTCAACATACTGCACACTAGGCTTAATACATTTACCCACATTGTAAAGATATAGAGATCCACCATTTGTTTGTTTTACACGATGTTTTGTGCTGTTTGCAAAATCTCTCCCAGCCTGATTTTTTCCGTCATATATAAGCAAACGTTTATTGAAATGAGGATTATCAGACATGACGTTCCCTCCTGTCTCGATATTATGCAATACTTCGTTATCCAGATAACGGAACAGCGCAAGATCACTTAAGCAGTTGGTGACCATTTCAATCCAATAACGGGTTCCATAGCTATCATCTCGAAAGGTTGGAGTTTTAGCTGCCAGACATTTTCCTGACTGAGTGTGTCTAAGAAAAAACCCTTGACAACGGAAGAATAAAAATGAGTCTTTTA